TGCGCCACCACGGCGGGCCCGTACCAGTCCCCCGCCATCTTCCCGGATTTCTTGCCGTACTCTATCAGCTGGTGCAGCCCAAAGGCTGCCAGGGGGGAGTCCCCAAACCAGGAGATGATTTTCCTGTGATAAAGCTCGTTCCTCCTCTCGGTGCCATCGCAGTCCCTGCGGGCAGGGGGCCGGGCCAGCAGCCTGGGCTCCCTGTCGGCCGTGAGCGACGCCTCCAGGGAGGCCGTGAGCTTCCTGACCGTGCTGCTGGGCCACGACTCCGAGTCACAGCCGTCCATGGCCAGCGCCTCCGGCCACACCCAGGCTGCAGCAGGAAAAGGGAAAAGCCACAGCAACATCGTTTTATGGCATCGTTAGCAAAGCACTTCCCCTTGTCCCCCTCATTATAGTGATAATGTGTGTTTTACATGGTGCTGTTAACAGGTGAACAAAGAAATCTGGAAGAGCAGCATTTGCTTTGATTTTTCTGGTTACCATCCCAGCCAGCTGAACAAACAAAATACACCTGATTACAGGTAAGAACTCTCTTACATATTAAATACATTACTGTTACTTCAATACTACCCAAAATCCTTTTATTGGTGTCAAAAAAGAAGTATCAAAAATCTTTAATTCTTCTTATTTTTCAGTTATTAAAAAACCAGGCAGACCTGAGGAATTATTGAAATGTTTGTAAAAGCAAACATTTCTTCCTGGCAAAACGGCAAAGGAGATCAGCAGAGAAACAGGCAGGCAGGATTTTTTATTCCCTAAATTCATTAATTCCTTTAGATTACAAGGCAAACTTGTGTAAGTATCAGTGAGTATCTCCAGTCTGTTTTTCCCTATGGATGGTGCATCCCACACAGCATTCCTCCTACAGAATGGGGTTCAGCAGGCCCAGGAAGATGCTGGAATTGTCCCCCAGTTCCAACAAGTACTCCCAGCACAGAGCCAGCTCAGTGTAAAACCCTCACAGGCCCTGCTGTTCTGGGCTCTCAGCTCCACACTCCAGCCAGAGTCTCTAGCACGGGCATTTCAAAGTAAAAACTTCAAATTTAAAATCAAAACTCATTCCCATCAACATTCAGCAATATCTGGAACATTCCACATGGCAGTGGAAGTGTAAATATCTCAGCTAGAAACTTCAGGCAAGTTTTGCTTCCTAACAGAAACACCACCATTAAACGAGAAGGAAAACATCTCTGGGAAAAGAGTAAACAGCCATGAAAAACTTCCTGTAAACATCTAAATATGTTTCCAAAGCTGCCCAGATCTCATAAAAAGCTTTTCAAAAGATAATTCACCAGCTGTCAGAAGACCAAGTGAGGAGCAAAGCAGCCCAGAAAGACCATCCCTACCCCATCTTTCTGTGGGTTTGGATTGCCACAGGAACAAGAGCACTCTGGAATCACCCCATCATCTTCCAAATTAGGATACAAGGGGGACACACGAGGAATTCTTTGGAACCATGGATTTTAAAGGTAGAAACCTGAGTGCTTTTTGTTTGGGGTTACTTCCAAATGAGCCATTACACACTCCTGCTCACAGGGAGTCTTCTGGGCAGGTCTTGAATTTCTTTTAAATGTATGCATGAGAAGAGTGATATTTAAGGGATTTGTGTTCTCAGCAGAAGTATTTCCACACTTTTTGATATGTGCAGTCAGTTGAAAGAGATAATGAATGTTTTAGAGTTAAACATCCACACCAAAGCACAATCACCGAGCCAGTCCCACAGCTCAGCCCTGGCACTGCTGGAACAGAGACTGTGCTGCAGCTGGGCTGGGACCTTGCTCCAGCCTCCCTCAGAGCTGCACAGCCAGGGCAAAGTGGCATCAAAACAGGCTTTCAGAAGGATCTTGTGCTGGAGTGCTCCTGAGAGCCCACAAATGGCTGAGCAAACAATGCCCTGTGTTCTCTCAACCCCCCCGGGCAGCTTCAGGGCGTGCCTTGGCTCATTCTGAAACAAGCAATGCGTGATTGTTATAAAGGGACAGACCACGGGATGGAAGGAAAAGGTGTTTAACTGTGCCAACCTAAAACACCTCTCTGCAGGACATGGCCAGCCTGGAAGAATGAGGAGGACAGGGACACTCAGCCCATGACAGCAGGAAGTGTCCCACAGCTCCTAAAGGTCCAGCTGGCTGTGCCTGAGCGAGGACTTTGAGGCAGACAGTGGTAAGGAAAAAAGGGAAATTCCTCTCTAAGTACATGGGGGGAGGGAAGGAATGACACAGTGAACATTTCCACACAGAGAATGATGTATTGAGGTTACATTAGAATCCTTCTAGGAACTCAATATATTAACACCAGGAGAAATTCAATAATGGACAACTTTAGAACTGATAAAAGAACATCACTTCTGCCATAGCCCACAGCTATGGGCTGGGGAACTCACTTCTACATCTGGAGTTCAAGAAACAATCAAATTTCCAGAGAAAATTTAATTTTCTGGGCATGTGCATGGGTAAGAACATCCAGATAGGAGGATCACACATTTGTGATGTATTAACTCACACCTGGATATTGGGAAGTCCACAGAAATTTGCTTTGGCACACTTTGGTTCTCAGAAAAGGAGGACAGGACAGCCCAGTCTCTGTGCAATGGGACACAATTCCAGCAGGAGTGAGGAGCACACAAGCAAAACGAGCTCAGATTTGGGATAAAAAAAGTCCATTTTGGTCTGCACAGAATGCCTGTGCCTGTACAAACACAGAGATTTCTGTAACTCACCTCTCCCAAGGAAATGCAGCATCAGCCCCTGGGCCAGCAGCATCTGCCCCGTTCTCAGCGTGCAGCCCCAGCCACAGTCCGTGGTCAGAGCAGAGCCCTGGATCTGAGGGAACTCCTCCCTGTAGGTCAGCCAGATCCTGGAGATGAAATCCTTGCGGAATTCCTCCACGTTCCCCGAAATCTCAGGGCTGATTTTGTCAAAACTGGACCCATCTGTAGAGAGCTCCCCAGAGTCTGCAAGGCAAAGCACAGCTTAAGCTCTGATTACTTTGTTATGGCATTCCTGTTATTAGTAACAAATATCAAAATTAAATTCACAAAAATTCACAATTGCCTCAAGGACAACAAAGGAGAATTGGAAGGCAAACATAACAGAAATGTGCCAGATTAAATAGAAAAAAAGGAAAAATCAAAAGAACCATAGAGACACCACTGTGCCAGTGGAACCACTGACCTGCAAGTAAGTGCTTAATTCACCCAACTGTGCATGGTCAAATAAAGAGACTTAAACCACTGCACACTGGAAAGTGATAACAAAGGTGTTGGTGCAGTGACCCTGATCAGGCCTTGCCACTTTTCCATCAGGAGTATTTAGAGAGAAAATCTCCAGCTGATGGTAAATGAAGTGCAAATTACAACACAAATTTTTACAGAGAGCAGAAGGTTTTGGTGCAAAATCTGAATAAAGCAGGTTAGAATGGATTGCATTAGAGGTGGACATTTAAATGAGTATTTTCTAAGCTTTTCATATTTACCTTTTGGATTTGGTTAATTGTTAATGCCAGTCTTTCTTTCTAGATTAAAAACACCTCATTCCTGCTGAGGAATGAGTGAAGAGCTCTGGACTCACCCTCAGTTTTGAAGTGGTAACATTTTCCCAGCAGAAAAACTGGAGAGTTCCGACTGAAGTAAGTTTTTGTTTTCAACACCCAACCTAAAACAGATGCAGAACAAATATAAATTTGTGACTGAACTTTCCAAAAGGAAATACTGACAGCATCTGGTTAAGCCAAAGGTAACCCTTGAAAGGGGAATTAAAAAAAAGCATTGATAGTGGGTTTTGGTCTCATAAAAAATCCCATAAAAGGTACAATGGCTACTGTTCCCTTTCAACCATGTGACAGCCTCAAAGAAAGCAGGAAAAAAAAGCATCTTTTCATCCTGTCAGACATCTTCAAAACAGCTATGATTAATAAAGTTTATCAGAAATCTGGTGGTAAAACTGAGAAACCTCAGTCCTAAATGGAAAGCAGAAAAATCAAGGACAGATTAGTAAAGGGCACACTTGAAAATCTGGTTGCTCATAAACAAATTACTGATGTTCAGCTGTGGAAAAATGGTACTCAAGGGTAGATTCTTCAGTGGAGTTTGTAACTCACACACCATCATATTTTCTTCTATAAAAGCACATTTATAGACAAAATAAATCTTTGTACAGATGATTCCATATTATCCCTGTTTAAAAGCCTATGCAAATCTAGAGTAATTTACAAAATAACTTTACTGTTTCCAAAAGAAATAGTTTTAAATGAAATGATGCAAGATTTATTTGAAAAAATGAAAAGCTAAGGAAGTTTTATAGTGGGGCTTGTTTATAACATCAAAGAAAAACCTGTTACAAGGGCCATATTGCATTTGTAGTATTAATTAGTTATGACTGCATTCATGCCAACAAGAAACACTCCATTCCTTTTAACGAGGACAGATCTCCCCACACTCTGCTCCACTTACTGTATTTCATGTTGTGCCATGCAGACATAAACTTTGATTTGATCTTTTCTACTTCATCTGTCCCCGTGGCCTCCATATTCAAATTCCAGAGAAAAAGCCATCGCTGTCTTGTGAGGCTTTCAGTTCTGCTGCTGCAAAAACCAAAATATAAACACTCAGCATCATCCCCCACCCAGGCCAGGAACAGCAATAAACTCACAGAACCCTCCACACCAGGCACTCAGAAGCAATCCCGTGTCCCATGAATAAGTAATAAAATAATTTAATTCCAAATACACACCAATAAAAGCACTACACAAAGCTAAATAAAAGATAATGTTCTCCAGCAGCTCTGCCTTGTACCACGAACTGCTCCAGAGCACAAAACCTGTGCTGGCACACGAGCTCACTCATTTTAGCAGCACTGAGGTGCAGAGCTGACATGCAAGCCCACTAAACAGAAAAGATGCTCTTGTTTTCTGCTGAAGAGAAAACAAAAAAGCACTTTTTGTGTTGAAGTCCACCACAGTGCTGGCTAATTTTGTAAAAAATCCTGATAAATTTGCTAAGGAAATGCATCTTTACTGGCTCTTTCTGTGCTGCAAGATAAGACAGATTTCACCTTAAAAGCAACCTGAACTGGTAACAATTGGTAATAAAGAAATAAATAGGTAATTGGTAATGCCTTTATCCCTGTTTCAAATAAAGCTGGGAAAATGGGACAGAACCCCCTCCACAGCCCAGCTGCCCCATTTGTAACAGGAAGTTTGTTGTTAATTAACAGAACTTCCTTCACCAGGTGTAATCTGTCAGTGGATCACCTGGAAATACCTGACACACAAAGTTTCTGGATGGTATTTGGTGGCCCAAAGCCTTGCACAGAGAGATGAAAATTAAGAGCTCCTGCTTCAACAGCAGCTCTTGTGGGACATCACTGCAGCCTTCACAGAATTTTTATTTAAGTTCTGACAGCACCAGCTGACCTGAGCAACAGTGAACTTCCTCATTTAATTAATAAACTTGAGCCAAAAAAAACCTCCTTGCTATAAAAGGAGTATCTAGAACTGTATTTACCTTTCCACGTGCTATTCTCCATGGAACAGGGATCAAAAGCAGGACAAAGACTTAACTGGGTCACTTCTCTCCACTGGGAATGAATTTTAAGTAAACCCAATCACTGACAGTGTAATTAAGGACAGGGTGAAGGTGTCAGGGTGGCAGCATCACCTGAGGGTACTCACACACATCCACTTTTTGGGATCTGCAATCTGCTGCCCAAACCACCCCTAGCACTTTCCCACTATTTTCTCATAAAAATCTGATTTTTGACAAAAAAAGAAGCAATGCCAACTCACAAACATGAGGAAAGGCTGAGGTTTTCCAAGTGAAAATAACAAGTGTGTACATCCCTGCTGTGATTAGCCTTGTGTTAAACTGGGGAAGGAAGAAAAGGAGAATTTCAAGCTGGGTTTTAACTTCCTGCCTTTTTTCTCCCCATCTTTTTTTTCTTTAGGAAAGAAAGGAAAGCCTGACTGTATGACCAGCTCCAGACAGCAAAGTGGCAAAATGAAATTTTTCAGGAGGAGTGTTTGGTCCTGTGTTCCCTCACATGATCCATCAGCAACAACCATTATCCAGACACCAATGATTGCCTTAAAAACCAATTCCTATAAAAGCTTCCTCTGGCTAAAATTAGAAATGAAACAAACTCTACAGTTCTGAAACGGCTTGAAGACAAAATTATGTAAATGAGAAAGAAGCTAATTTTCTTTTCAGAGACAATGGTCACCACAGCACATTTATCTTTCCTCTCTGTACATTTCTTCTCTGATATTATGCTAAAGATGCAAAAAGGGCTTCCAAGAATGCTAACACAAACCAGGTATATTTTTTTCAAGAGGAAAACACAGGTTCTTGCCATCAATGTAAGAAATCGCCAGTAAGAGTTTCACAACATTAATGGAACAATACCAGGAATATTAAAGGTCCCAGGAATATTAAAGCCAACGGGAATGAATATCAAATGACCAAAGCGCATAGTTTTGTCCCGAAGTTGCCTGATGTCTGAAGTTGTTCGGATGCACATCACGAGGATGCCGTTCCCTCAGGGAGAGCAGGACACGGCTGGAACTGAGCCCCAATTCCTGAGCCCTCTGAGGGGATCCCTGCCGGGAGCGGCTGGGCGCTCTCAGGGATGGAAAACACCCCAAAACCCCCCAAAACAGCGCTTGTGTGCATAAACAGCAGAAAAGCAACGCAAGCTGCCGGTAATACTGCAGCGGGAAGGATGAATGAAGCCTCAATGGGGTAATTATAAGATAAATGATCTCCTGTTGACTAAGACCTCTCTGGTTTTCATTCGTACCTTGAGGGAGCCCGGAGCGGCAGCGGCGGCAGTCAGCGGCACCCACACGGAAGAAGGACGGGGAGCAGAGGCCGGAGGTCATTTCTGAGGCGCTGCAAACACATTCGAGGGCAGTTAGAAACGATACCGGGAAGGCGGCTCGCCAAGAAAACCAGATTATTCCTCAGTCTTGCAGCAGGGACGGTGCGCTTCGCCCGGCAGGACT